CAGGAAGGAGGTTCAAGACGTGGTCTTTTCAGCGAATGCATGCAGGCTGTGAAAGATTGGGGGCATCGCTGGCATCCTCAATGAAAGGGTGGTGAGTGGCTAAACCCTAAAATTGTGCTTCTCTATCTACAAGTAGCCCTGCCGCCAGCAGAGCACTAACCTTCAGATGATTACATGTGATTAGCATCTCTCAGTCCTACATTCAGCAAGCTTTTCTTTTTTTCTTTTGAGATGACATCTTGCTGTATTGCCTGGGCTGGCCTCATACTTCTTGGTTCAAGTGATCTACCTGATTCAGCCTCCCAAATAGCTGAGACTACAAATGTGCACTGCCATGCCAGGAACAGTCTTTTTTTTTAAAGAATATCTATGCCAGACTCTGCACTGGGCACCAGGGATACCAAACACAAAGTGGATTCAGACTGTGGGAGCCCATTTTGGATGGGAGAAAACTTCACAGAAACAGAAAAGCATAAAATTAAGTGGTTAATTTAGTACCAAGACAGATGCACAGAGAAATAGGAGAGTAAAAGAAGGGCATAGCTGATCAGGGAAGTTCTTGGAAAAGATCAAAGACATGATTTAGAGTCGATGACTCAACCTAAAAATGATTTTTTGGCCACAAATTACAGAAGACTCAAACAGTCTTGAAAAATGAAGTTCATTTATTTTCTCATACAAGTCAAAGTTCAAAGGAAGGGTGGCTTACCATAGAGGCTCACCATGTTTTCAGGGCTGGGCTTCCATCCTGTGTCCTCTATGAGTCAGCTTCTTTCCTAGGCTGACTTTCCTCTTGGAAACAGAATGGCTGCAGCAGATCCAGACCTAACATCCACACACCAAACTGTCCAGATGGCCCAGCATTCCTAGCGCAGATCCTGACGTTCACTTTGCCACTCTGGTTTAAGTCACAAGCCTACCTCTGGTTCAGTCGCCGTGGCCAGGGGCATAGAGTGCACCGGCCATCTTGGGAGCCAGGGATGGTCTCAGATGTTTGGAACAGAGAGATGAATTCAGCCAACACAGTATCCGCTCTGTAAAGGAAAGGGAGCGCCTAGCCAGGCTTGCTGAAACCCCACATTGATATTATCGCTCATCAGCACACAGTGGCACTGGTCTTCGCTGAAAGAAGCACCTGATTCTTCAGTGAGAAGTGAATAGAACAGAATTCCAGCTTGTGAAAACCAAGAAGCAAAAATCAGTCATTCTTCCAGGAAAAAAATATCACCCCTCACCCCCCCTTGGCTTTTGATAATGTATTTCACCTCGAGGTCACTTGGCCTGCCCAGGAGCCTCCTGTTGTGCGAGGAGGGGAGCAGTAGCACCCACTCGAGATGGCTTCTGGTATGCTGCAGTAACAACCCCCAAATCTCAGCAGCTTGGTACAAGTCTGCTGTGAGTCCCCAGGACAGTGGGCCATCATATGATGGCTGGGGATCCAGGCAGGAGACTCCCCCACCCTGTGCCTGCACTCTGTAGAGTGTACCTCCATCCCCCTTAGTCAGAAGCGAGAGAGGAGCTTGCGAGAGGGTCGAGCGCTACAAGACTGGTGCCACCACCTGGGTGTGACTGTTGGCCAAGCAAGTCCTTCGGTCATGTCTAGCTGACATCAAAGGATTCTCCCGTGGAGTCTTGGCCAGAAGCAGAGGAGAACTAGATATCAAGGACCACAGGGAACAGCTGCTCCCATGCCCCTCAAGCAGGAGCAGAGAAGTGCGTCAGGTGGCGGCCGCCTCCTCCGCTTGCACCAGCCTTCGATGGTTCCAGCTGCCACATGCAGGAGCCTGCTTCCAGAAGGGGAGGAGACTGGCAATGGAAAGATTAACCGCTCCCTGGGTTGCACACGGGCATCAGTATTTTCAACAGTACTTTCTGAGTTCAGCCTCAAAGTAAATGGTTAATTCATCTTATATCAACAGCACAGTGATTCATAATGTAAACTTGGAGAATTTTTGATGTTTCAGGCCCACATTCCTTTTAATTTGGCTCTGCATTCTTTTAAAGCCACAGTGTGCTCACTTAATAGAATGCAGCATGCAAATGCACAAGTTTTTGCCTGGAGGCAATTTAGCCTGGCTGTTTCAATGGATGTCTTCTTTCAAGTGTATACTCTTTCTTAAATTATTTACTGGGTAAACACACTTTGCATTTTCAACAGGGAGATTAAGACTGCTTGCCACAGACCTAGTTGAACATCAAGGCCCCCTTTGCCCAAAGTTAAGAGGGAGTTACGTTGGGCTTCCCCCAAAGTTCTCTCTCTGGCCCATTTTTGCTGATTCTCTCCAAATTCTGTGTTCCTTTCCGCTTTGCCCAGTTGCTCGAGGCCAGCAGCAACTGGCTGTGATGGGTCTCTGGGCTTCTTCACAGATGGGGCCTGCTACTGCCAGCCTTTGTTTGCCCCCTCCAAGCTGGCTCCATCCTGTCCATTCTAGGGCCCTGATGGCTCACTTGTCTGCTCCATAGAGAGGCTATATTTGCCCAACTTCCCTGAGGTCCAAAGCTGGGTGATGGCCTGACCAGTCAAGCTTACTTACAACCCTTTCTGTGCCAAGTCTTTTTGTGTCCTTTGTTCCCCTCCTTCCAAATACCTGGCAGCCTTTCATGGAGAACCAGACCCCTTTCCAGCTGTCCCCATCCACCGGCACACACCTTCGCCCCTCAAAGACTGCTCCTTCTCCTCGTCCGGGCAGAAGCCCCGGCAGTCCCCTGAGAGCCCACGGAGGTGTACAGCTCTGTCACCGGGGGCTGGCTTCAACTTTTAACTTCAGCCTTTGCTAGTCAGACCCCCTGATAGTTTTCTGCCAATTGAATTTGCACAGATCTCCTCCATTCTGCTTTGAACAGAATCATTGCCATTACTAGAGGCTGTGTTCTTTCATCACCATTCTTTGGGCAGTCTTCTTTTGAGTCCCGGAGTGCCAGCCACCATATAGCGGTGTTGATGCTGGCGAGGTGAATTCTACACAGTCCCCACAGGTCGACCCACGGACTCAGCAGGGGGCGGTGACGGGAAACGAGGAGGCTCTGTGGGTGCACTAGGAGGGTGAGCCCTATGAGGAAGGCCAGAGAAGAGCTGAGAACTCAGGGCTTCTTGTGCATTCATTTTTTTCCTAACCCGGCCTCACATTAAACAAGTAACACCCCCAGTTTAATACTTTACAAGGTAGCGTCATGGGTGCCTTGGGGCCCTCAACCCACAAATAAAATGGCTGTCAACCAAACTACACCGGAGCCACACGACCATGTATTACTTAAGGCAGAATTTTCAAGAGTTCTCGTGCTTTTAATGTGTTTCACTGCTGAGTTTCAATTTTGCTGATTTCCTTTGCACGTTGGGTGCGGGTGACTGTGGTAAATAAAGATTCTGACAGTGACTTGGGCAAATGGGGTGTGTAGGGACTGTCCCTTCCTGAGGAAGGTAGAGGAAATCAATTTACGTTTCAAATGGAACCACCAAGTGCACCCATCAGTGTTCCTAATTAGCCTCCCTGGAATAAACCATGAGGTCCTGTTTATATTTACTTATTGGGGGGACAGAGAATCTTCCTGTCTCCTGAGTAAGTATGTCCTGTTAAGTCGGAATTAGCTGTCATCACTGAAGAATTAATGTCAGGCGCAGACTTTCTAGCGGGGAAGGGGAGAAATAAACGAGACAGATCTCAGACGAGCCCGCGTGATAAATGAGGACCAAGCGCACCATTCATCTCCTGCAAGGAAAGTGGACACAGGCACTAAAGCAGTTTTGCGGAAGACGTGTCAGCAAATGTGATCATTTTGTAACCTGTCAGGAGGAAAGGGAGCTGGTCCCGTTAGGGGCCACAGGGGAGCGGGTTGCTCTGATGTGACAGTTCTCATCCATCCGGTTAAGTGTGGAGGGAGGGCCGGGTGAGGAGGACTCAGCCCAAACTACAGCCTGATGTCTTCCTCCTTCTAATAAACAAACATCCAGATGCTTTCAAAGGCTGTAACTGTGCTGCCATGGTGCCTTTACACACCCAGAGGAGTCCCTGTTTGAGTGGCTCGGTCCCCCCGGCCACTCCCTGTTGGAGACGCTGTCCCATGTCTGCTTTGCTGTGAGCCTTTAAGCCGGGTGGGCAGCCAGCTAGACAGCCAGCCACTCCGGGCTTCTATTTCTGTGTGGCTCTGTGAGAGCCAGCGTAGGCGAAGCTGCTAGACCTAGGTTCCCTTTGAAAGTCTCAACAAAGCGTTCTGATGTGCGACCTCTTTTCTCCGAATGAGGTAACAAATTATGAAACAACTTCACCGGAAGCTCTCGGCAGGCATCCGCTCACGCCTCTCCTCTGCTTCTCCTCTGAGGTCAGCAGCATCAGGCCCGGACCCGGGGAGTGAGAATAGATGTGAGGTGAGGGCCCCCCACAAGCTATGACAGGCACCTTGAAGACTTCCCATCATTTCTCATTTCCATCTCTTTCTGCTGTGGAGCAAATGTAATGTTTCCTCCCGGCGTGATGGAGCATGAGCCGCAGTGACAGGCAATGGTTTCACAGCCTAAGCCGCAAGTTTGACACTTGCTTCTTAATCCTGTCCTTTTCTCACGAAGTCTCTCTTTTACTTTTCCCCAGGAATTTTTGTACAGGTAAGTACCTTACTGACATATGTCTCCTTGGAGTCTTTTCCTTTCACAGGAAACACTGCAAAAAAAAAAAAAAAAAGAAATGAGGCTTGTCTCACATTTTAAATTAAAAAGAGAAGCTCACATGGGGCTCTTGATCACTTAAAGAGACTACATGGTACGTGGAGCCTGGAAACCCATTTGATTCGCTCTAACTCTGCAGTAAGCGTCTCTCTGAGTGCATATGACGAGCGCTATGAAGCTGTCCGTAGGCCCAAAGCTGTGTGATCACACACACACTCAGGGCACACTCAGGGCACACTCAGGGCACACTCAGGGCGTTAGTGCCACGAGCCAGCCTGGCCTTGGGCGAGCTTTGTCGGAACATCGTCCATTTATCTGTGTGCATCTTTTTCTTCTCTGCCAGAATCATCCAGAACCGCATCCTGCTCGTCATCCTGGGGATCATCGTGGTCATCACCATCCTGACGGCGATCACTCTTTTCATCAGGAGACACTGATGTATCTGCTCTCCCCTGATAAACATCAACCTCAGCGTGTTCTGAGTAATTAAGACAAAATGGTCACATGAATCATTCTGTTTCGCTGACAGGCCCTGGGTGACCTTTTCTCCCCCTCACCACCATTCAAGTGCTCAAGTGCAAAGAGTGTAAAAATTTTTCTATTCCTGTGTGCATGGTTTTCTTTTCTAGGTTTGTCTTCAGCCAGATTTGTTTTTTATAGGCAAACATGAATGTTTATTTGTCTTTTGGTAATTTCATCTATTGTCCAAAATAGCCGCAGTGAGATCTTTCTTGCCCTGTGGACATGTCAAGGGGTCATGGTTTCAGAGAGGACATGATGAGTCAGTCACGGGAGTTTCTCTTTGTCATGAACTTCTTGTCACTAAAGTCTTTCTGTGGTGCCCAAGGATAAAAAAATGCAAGGAAAATCAGGGGGCAGAGCCAGTGACCAGCTCCAGCAAGCCAGCCCAGTCCGTTCCCAGGCATAAGGCACATAGTCAACCTGGCCAAATGCTTTTATTGCAAAGAAGGGTATTTAATGTCATTTGTACAGGAAGTTGACTTAGCACTTTCCCTGTTTTTCTATTGCATAATTTTTTAAACTGGAGAATATTTTTGCTGAATCTGCCCAGCATCCACTTTTCACAACTTTGGTTCCTGGCTACAAGAAATATTTCCTTGCCTTCCCCAAATCCCATACTCCCCTGCACTTGTTGGCAAAACGAGCCCTGGCACAGTATTTAATTTTGACCTCATCTTTCCTGACCTGTGTAAGCGTCTCTGTATCCTTTCGGTTTTAATATTTGCACCGCCAAAAGCAGCCCTCATACATGCAAAAGGTCTGACAAGGTTCGCTCCACGTCCATTCCAGTATGTAAAGAGAACATGAATATTTCAGTAAGAGCAAGAACATGACTCCATCTGTTCAAAATTTCCAAGGTGATTATAAATATGGGAGAGTCCTATAGGATGATCTACTGGAAATAAACTTCATGGAAAATGTTCGCTAACCTCCTTTCAAAGGAGAAGGTTTGAAGGGTGTTTTAAAAGGGCGACTTGGGTTTTTTACTAACAAATGTTAGCAAAGCCTTCCTGAATTCACTATGTATTCAAACCTCTAATGTGCTTTATGAATTTTCTTTCTTTCTGTCTGAGGTAACCAAGAGTTGCGTTCAAAATGAATTCATTCGTGATTGGGCTTAAAAGTTGCCCAAGCTGAGGTCATTTTCCCCCTAGTTATAAAGCTAAATGTGCTTTTCTTCAGACATCATAGCCACTTACAGGGTCTGTACTGTCTCTTGAATATAATTGGAAGCTCTGAATTCTTGAAAAGCAAACCTGTTCTCTTCATAAAAAATGCTAAGCACCTGTGCTCATGGAGCAAGATCGCCTGAATGCAACACTTGTTTTGTTTTTTTTTTTCCAACTCAGAGAAGAACCGTTATGGCGTAGAGAGGAAATATAGAATGCAAAATCCACCAGAGAAATCATACTTATCGGAACAGGCCAGGGCCTGCATGTATTCAGATAAATCATTTAGTATTGTGTAAATAAAGCTACAGCCTTTATGTCAGAGGGATGGTGCGGGATTTTGGTCGAGGGAAGTGGGACAGCAAAGAAGCAGAAAGCTGTGTTAATTTTCCTGTCAGCTCAAAGGACCCATCTCAGCAAAAACCTTATTCTGATGACAGAATTATAGATGTGCTGAATGGAAGAAATCATGTAAAAGCAAAGAAACAAACAATCCCCTTCTCTGGAACACTGACAGTCATGAGGTACACCAGCCCCTCCGGCAGCTTCTTGGAAACTTGGTCTTAGTTAAGTGCATAAGTGGACGCCGAGCTGCGCCTCCCGTCTCCTTCCCATCTCCTGCTCAGCTCACCCTTCGCAAGGCCACCTCACCCACAGAGTTGGTCTCACCATCTGTCCTGTACTTGATGGCTCCTAGGGACTTCAGTCAAACCCTGTGTTCACGCAGAAACAGGTGGACCGAGAAGGGAGGAGGCCTTCACCACCTCCCTCACTGTGCCTTCTGGCCAGTTCCATGACTGGATCAGCCCTTGCCCGGGGCCTCCCCATTCCGCCTTGGGAGTGGGAAGAAAACCCTTAGCTTAAGGCTCCATCAGACCCCCTTGATGGTGACCCCCTAGACCACCGTGGCACACTTGGTGAGGAGGCTGGTTGGGACGTCCCTTGAGCACCCCTGTCCCTGCTGCACACTGCAGGTGGGACTCCCAGGAGCGATGAGGCCACGACTCTCCCTCCTTCCCTGCTGCAGTGGGGAAGGAAGAAAACCCAGAAGATTGAAGCTGGTTCGATATCTGGGGAAGGTTCTAGGTGCTTCGTATGTATACCTGGATGGGCGAATGTTCCCGAAGTTGGCAGCCTTTGTTACAAACAGTGTTGGACGCGGAGGGTGGGGAAAGATGAAGATGAAGACGTAGCGGAGGAAGAAGAGAAGGGAGCCCTCGCCATATAAAATTCATGCAGACTAAACAGTTTCCCTGGCAGAATAAATAAAGCGGATGCTACCCTGCTCCAGAATCAAAAGCAATTTAATTAAAGTCTCTTAAGTTGTAAAGAGTTTTAAATGTTCCATGTTGAAGACGAATGCCTACAAATGCAGTGGGCTTGACGTCAGCCGCCAGGCCTGGGCTGGGAGGCCATTTGCTATTCTGTTTCAGGCAGGCTGGATTGTCTTATTTTGGAACCAGCTTGGTGGGGGGTTTGCTTTGCTACTGCTTCTGAGCCCTGAGCTTCAAAGGCTGAAATTAATGGTGAACAAAATTGTGCGGCTCTGGCCGTCCCATGCGGGGCAAGCCCATTGAGGGTTATCATTAAGTAAAGAAATAAAGAGGGGAAAAAAGCCTGCCTGCTCCAAAAACCTCATCAGATAATGACCTCAGTGATTGGGTTTTCATTACCAAATACCATCCAGAGATTATCAACCCATGGAAGAAGGGAGGGGGGAAGAAAGAAAGAAAGGAAAAGCCACTGTCTTTCTCTCCCTCTCTTTCTCTCTCTCTCTTTTTTTTTTTTTTTTTTGCACATCTTTTCTTTAAAACTGTCAGATCATTTCAGTATTTCAAATCCGAGGAAAACAGCCTGCCTGCTGCTGTATTTGAAGTTGTAATGGTGTCAAAAAGTCACGACTGACTGACAGCCGTCAGTCCCAGAGGGGCTCATTAAATCATAAAAACTTGACAAGGAAATAATTGCGCATCGCCAGCAACTTGGCGCCTGTTTAGACGTTTTTATTTTCTTTCATTATTAGTCCCCACCATTACGTTCATTAACAAATTGCATTAAACAACTGTTAAGGGCTAATGATTTGTTTATCGCTTTTTTTATTATTATTATTTAAACATTAGCTGTGTCATGTGGTACCTCAGCAGCCTCTTGCCATCATCTGACTGAATATTTTTCCACTCTGAGCTCTGGGTACTGTTGGAATATGAAATAGATTATTCATTACTCTCCTCTCTGCCGCTGATTTGGTTTCATGTAGCGTCTTCCACAGAGAAAGATGAAAACTTGTCAAAAATAGGTTATATCTTATTCGAAGGGGCAACAATAGCAGCAGGTACAGGCACACTTTAATATTTAATTAAGGTTGATGTTAACCCCTTTAAATGACTTTAGCTGTAAGTTATATTTAAATGCAGAAGAGAAAAATAATTGTTCTTAATTTGCAACCTGTTCAGTGGGCATTCTTCATGGAGTTAGCTGGAAATTTAGAGCAGAATTTTTAAATAATGAAATTTCCTATCATAAATATTTATAGCGGTTTGTGTACATAGTGGAGAATTAACTATAAGCAATGATTTCCTCATCTCTTTGGTTTGAACTGCTGGCCCGGTGGGGCCCTCTGTGCTTCGGAGTGAGGCGCTTTCCTGAAAGCGAAAGTGTTTGGAGGAGAAGTCCAAAGCCAAGGACTGTTGGTTGGTTGTGGCCAGCCCTGGTTTGAAAGACCGCTGTTGAGTCCCCGGTCCGTGGCCACTTGCCTTCCCCTTTAGCTGAGTGTGTGGTTGGAAGACTGTGGTCTGCAGTGAGAGAGAGCAGGAATGGCCGTCTTAAAGGAAGACTTGTGTGTCCAGATGGCTGCTTCAGGGAGGGCATGATGGGTGTCGTGGTGCCTTCAGTTGGTTACACGGAGCTCATCACAAAGACTGCTTCCCTCATAGGCAACAGGAGCAGCATTTGGCTAGGACTGGCCTTGCGCGCTTTTCCTTTCTGTGGGCTGCCATCTGCAAATTGATTGGCTTTTCCATCGGCGATGAGCTTGAGCGGCCAGAGGGACAAGGCTGCCTCCTGGTCATCTTAGATCAAAAGTCAGTGGGCTTCTCATGCCGTAAGGGCTGGCTATTTGTTCCATAGGTTTACGTAGCCATGGCAGCCACTCTGTCTTAGTGAGACCTGCTTCACTGGCGCTTCAGGACTGAGTGTTCTGGTTGGAAACAGAGAGAACCCTTTCTTGTCCTGTCTCTGGTCCCACCCTCCCATCCCAAGAGACCAGACCCTTCAGATGTGAGGAGAAGAGACGACCCATGTTCCTTGCTCAATGCAGTGTCTCTCAGCACCACACACGTAAGGTCAGATGGTCCTGCAGGCACTGCGGGCCCGCCTAGCAGGCAAGAGCCAGGTGAGGTCTGCAGCTGTCATTGATCACTATGGATATAGAAATGGTAGACACGCCAAAACCCAGAGAGCCTTGGGGCTTCATTTTGACCCAGTTCAAATTAGCCACATGATAAACCACCACTTTGGGGATGACTTCCGTACCTCAGCAGGAGACTGCTCAGAGCCATTTTTCCAGAACAAAGGAAGGCTCCATGGTGTGAACCATCGCAGGACACTCCCACTGACCCTGGCTAAGAATCCTGAGACTAGAAAACCACCCTCAAACTTGACCTCACACCATGCTGTAACTCACTAACTTTAAACCTGACCCTAAGAAAGATTCTTACTTTTGTGACTTTACTCACCTATGGCCCATCAGACTCCGACTAGTAGCATGTGCCAAAGGCTGACCAAATAACATGGTCATGCGGCTCTTACACCAGCTGCCGGCCTTTTTGAATGTGATGAGTGACTGTGTGGACAGCTCAGAAAAGATCTTGAAGCCACAGGCAGTGCACCCAAAAACAGTGATAAAGGGCCCCAGGAGCAGCCGGGCCCAGGCAGGATGTATGCGTGACTGGAGCCAGGGCAGTCTGGGATAGGTGACGGACCCACAGTTGGCAGCACCTCCTGTTGTGGACATGGGAAGACAGACGTGCTGAGAGGCTACCTGACTCTTGGGATTCCAGAGCAGTAGCAAGGGAAGCGTTCTAGAGCCAACTTACTAGGGACAAAACTAAGATGGCAGGAGAAGAGGGGTGGGAACGTATGGGAGGGGAGGACCAGAGGGGGTATACTTGAAGGCCAGCGGATTCCCCATAGCAGAGGGCAGTGGGCAGTTAAGAGCTCATTGAAGAGTAGGAAGGCTGGGGATGGGGCAGTCTTGTAGCACCCTGAGCCCATCACACCCCTGCTTCAGGAGGACCCAGACAAGGGGAAGAGCATGGACCCTATCCAAGCCACGCACTACCCATCTCTACCCTCCCGTGCTTTCTGCCTGCCGTGGGGAGAGCACTTCCTCTTCCCGAATTGCCTCCTTACTCTGCTACATAAATAACGAAAGCATCTCAGTCAGGGGGAAATGGCAGGAAGTAGCACTCTGGGCTGTGATTCTATGAACTTGGGCACCCCTCCTTCCCTTCTTCCAAACAAGCCCCTTTGGCGTGAATAATAGCTCGGAAGCGCTGAAGCTGTATTGATTGGCTGCCCTCGCAACTCTGCAGAGAGCTGCTTGGGCTTTTCCTAGAGGCAGGACACAGGATGGAGGCAGCACCTCCCCTTCCCTGGCCAGCCCCAGGTGTGCTCAGGAGGAGACAGCACGGGTGGGGTGGGGAGCCCAGGCCCCTTCCAGCTCAGTGGGGCTTTGTCGCCACAGCATTTCTTGTTAGCAGCTTATTTGGCCATGAAAAGTACCCAGTTGGAGAGGAGTGGTTCTTCTGGGTTTTTTCTCCCCCACCTCCACCCTCTGCCCTGGGAATTGGACCTAGGGCCTTCACACTGAGCAGCACCCCCAGTCCTTTTTATTTCTTATTTCAAGGCAGTGTCTCACTAAGTTGCTAAGTTGTCCAGTCTGGGTTTCAACTTGTGATCCTCCTGCCTCAGCTTCCTAGGGTGCTGGGATCACAAACACGCACCGCCCTGCCCCACGGAGGAATGATTTTCATGATGAGACCCTATAGAGTTGACAGTGCACACATCTTCTGGTTTAAGGGTCTCTCCAAAAGATTCTGTGAGGGACCCAGGCCATAGAAGCCCCTCAACTCAGCCCTCAGGGCCGTGCTAGGTCCCACCTCTCAGCCTAGCCACCGTGGTATGCCACACTGCGCTTTGCTGCGGATTTGCTGTCGTAGGCCGCCAGGAAGAGGGAGCAAGAGTGGAGCTAGAATCCGTTGCCTTCACGGGCGATGGAGTTGCTGCTAAAGTCATGGAGGGCTTCAGCAGAGACGCCCTGAGACCATGCTCGCTTGTCCCTCGTCCTGGTGGGTGTCTCCTCTGGACACAGTGGCCTTGGCCCTTTGAGGGATATGCAACTGTGGGGTTAGCCAGGCCCATGCAGTGACATCCTGAAATCCTGCCTCAAGATTCACCCCTTTGAGCACTGAGAAATACAGGTTCATTATTCTCTGGGCAGCTCCAGTCACCCAGCTGTGGGTTCCTCCGGGACCGAGTCTGGGTCTGGGGAAAAGAGACCACCAGACTAACAAGTAGGAGAAGGAAGGGCCTTGCTCCCTGAGACCAGCTTCCTGGAGATTTCCTTGTCTCAGCTGCCTGGCGATAATGGAGTGTCAGTAGGACACAGCCTTGCCCCCAGACCCTGTTCCTCCAGGACCACGTTGTGGCCAGGGCTGCAGTCGGGTGAGCACAGGAGCTGAAAATGGGCTCCATGCAGGAGCGGCGGCGGGAGAGGTCTCCTGCAGGTCCCGCAGCGGTGCCTCGCTGAGAAGCACGGTGCATAAGCAGGAAGGCAGGGCTGGAGCTGGCACAGGCAGCCCTGGGCTCCGCACGTTGTCTCAGCCATGAGCTGTTGCAGCAGCCTCTTGTCCCCACTTAGAGCGAGCAAATGCACAGTGTGGCCCCTAACGGGCTTGTTCTGTCCTGAGCAGATCCTCCCTGCACGTCCCACCCAGGTCCTTAGCACAGGGGGACAGCGTGGCAGTCAGAACCTCCGTCTGCTCACTTTACATCCCCTCCCTTTCACCCAGGCCAGTCCTTCTGAGCTCTAGGCTGCTTTTCTAAAGAAAGGGAAGCATCAGAATAAGAACCTGAAGGCTTCAGTGAGTGAGCTCATGATTGCCCCCAACAAGCCTTCTGAATAATCAAACTTTTCTGTGTTTAAAGGTGGAAAAGCGTAATCAGATGTATTCATCCATTCAGTGAATATTTACTGATCATCTACTATGTTCCAGGCCCAGAAGACACACAGTGAGGAAATAGATAAGGAGTCAGAGAGCCTGAGCACACTGCGGTGGAGGTCAGAGAGCTTTCTCATGTCACACACATCACAGTCAGGATCTCAGCAGTGAAAAGCCCTGCTTCTGCTGCCTCCATCTCTGCCAGTTTCCCGCAAAGCCTCCTCCAGACTCAGGGCTGCGTGGTCCTTCCTCCTGGAAGTCACCATCGCTGCATTTGCAAAGAGCCCGGCAAAAGCACAGGTCCCCATCGCGCTGGCCCTGCATCCAAGACTGGCCTAGGAGAGGCGGGACGGGAATAGTCTGTTTAGACCAGGGCTGACATGGAGGGAATGTTTCTTGGTCTCCTTCTTCATCTCCTCCTCCTCCTCCTCCTCCTTCTTCTCCTTCTCCTCTTCCTCCTCCTACTTCTCCTTCTCCTCCTTCTGTGATAAAGGTTTGACTTGGCAGGCAACAGGAGCCCAAAATATCATAAAAGGGAAAAAAGTTGCCGAGTGGCTAAGCGGTGCACCACGGGAGCGTCGCTGGGCTCAGCAATGAACAGCAAGCAGGGAAGAAATGGAGCAAGAGATGTTTTCAAAGGATTCTCTCTCCTTCTTCTCTCCGTCCCCATGCGGAAAGGGAAATAGAAGCAGAATCCAGATCTGGGTGTGGGGCTGAATGGCCCCCACCCGCACCATCCTTCCAGACAGTGGAAAAACTTTGATGTCTGGGTGTGTGGCTTCAGGCGCGCACGGAGGGGCGTCGCAGCGACTGTGTGCCGGCCTCCAGCGACTCCTGGGTAAGGGAGATGCAGCC